TCGAGTTAAAAAAAAGAAAATACGTGTATGTGCGCATTGTACAAAAGGAAAACACGTGTATATGCACGCATTATAGAAAATAAAAAATGTGTTCGCGCATTATAGAAAGGGGAAATACGTGTATGGACGCACTGTAGACAAAGATAAATATGTGTATAATAGTAATTTTGTTAGATATACTTACAATATTGGTGCATTCTGAAATGCAATCTCCAACAAGTTTGAACATTTTCTGTCTTGGAGGAATTGCCATTTTGTTTATATATTCGATTCCAACCTCCATGATTCCGGCATCGAATTTTCTTAAAGTTGGTGTTACATAGAATTTGATCCCTGAAGAGTCTTTGATTCCTAAAATTAAAGATACCAAAATGAATTCATGCCTTATTTTGTATAACAAATTACTTTCCTTTAGAATATGTGTGATTAAAGTCACCATTTTTCGGATAATTTTCCAGACATTTTTCAGACCATTGAATCCATTCTTTGTGTTTTTGATATTGTTAAATCAACGTTTCGACTTATGCATTCCATAGTTGTTCTATCAATAAAAATAAAGTTGACTGAGAAGCAAGAACCCGGAAGAGAGTTCCACAAGCGAGAAGTGCGATAGAAGAAATTGTTAGCAAAGAACTTGAGGTTACATCTAGCTATTTCAACTAGACAGTGATGAGACCTTGCCTCCAATCTAGTACTGCGTTTAAGTTCATAAAACCAAGGTATCATAGAGAAAAGTTCATCGGAACAATTACCATGAAAGTATTTATAGAAAAGACAGAGGGAAGTTAAATTACGACAGTTGGAAAGTGACTAAAGCTGAGATGCCAGGTCAGGGCCAATAACATTTTAGATTCTTCTTTGGATTTTATCAATAATCTTTAAATGTAGATATTTACTTGACCCCCCCCCGAGTCACGTTGTGACACAAGGTCAGTTTTTAACGTGGAGACCCGATGTTTTCCCTCGGGCTGCTGGTCCAAGCTGGTCAGAGCTGGTCTAAGCTAGTCATAGCTGGTCTTGACTTGTCATAGCTGGTCCAAGCTGGTTAGAGCTGGTCCAAGCTAGTCGTAGCGGTGATGCCACCAGCGCAGGGACGGATCCCTACACCAGGTAAGTATCAAAGAACCTTTAAATGTATAGCAGAAGCGCGTATATCATTCTGTAAACATTTAATTGGTTAGGAGACACTTACATATTGGTCGATTATATTTGCGTATGTGAGATCTTGCTTCAAAGAATGGGTAAATATTGATAATTTATATTTAAGTCTATCGATATTTATTTTGTTCGGGAATAGATAAGTAATGACCGTTTATATTTCAACCTTTAACATGTAATTTCTTTCGAGTTTAGGCAAATATTGGTCTCTAGGAATGTATTTGGTTCGGAGATAAGTAAATATTTGTCGATTATATAGAGTTTATAAGCATTTGCTTGTCCTGGAAATGGAAAATATTGTTAATTTTTATTTGAATCTGGAAGCACTCGCTTCGGGGGATACATAAATGTTGGTCACTTATATTTGAATCTAGAAGAGTTTACTTCGGTGCTAAGTAAATATTCGTCGTTCACATTTGAGTTTTTACTTGGTTTGAGGATATATAAATATTGGTCGTTTATATTAGTGTCTGTAAGCACTTGCTTCGGGATAGATATTGGTCATTAATCTGGAATCAGTACGGATGTAGGCAAATATTGGTCATCATATTTCAGTCTATTAGCATTTGGTTTGCGGATGAGTTCATTTATATTCGAGTCTATAAACATTTATTTAGGAGATAGGTAAATATTTGTCGTTTTATAGTTGACTTTATAAAAGTTTACTTGGCAGGTGACCCCTTTCCTCTGCAGGGGATGCAGTCGGTGTATACTAGGCCACGCCCATAAGGTACTCTGTCAGCTTTGTTGCGCCCTCTGGCTGTTATAATTAATATCTCATTACTACTCTGCTTAGAGCTCAAATCTTGCGATTGTCAGCATTAACTTTAATGCTGCTGTGTCACCTTTTTCAGCTTTTCTTTTCAAATAAAATCTACCGATATGAATTATTTCTCTTGAAAATCAGAAGGCAGTTTCCATGGAAAGAATATATTTTATATATTACTAGTGTTGCCCTCTCTGGATCTCCCACGCTACTACATAAAACGGTATCAACGAAAAGAAGCATTTCTTTTTTGGTATTTGTTTCATTAAGAGTGGCAGTTTGGATTCTAGGAGGCTGTGGGAGGAATGACGTCACAGGAACGCATGTCGCACGTTGGCTCAGCGTCCCTCCGCGTGTGGTCTAAGCCGGTTGCTAATATGAGTGTGGGGAGCCTATCGACGCTTCAGAATTCTTGGGACACTCTATAGAATTCGCGCCGTTTTGGATTTATATTCAAAACCCAGACTGTTATGTTCCGGTTCCTTGTACCACGGTGATAGTCCAAGGTAGAACCAATAAAGAAGAACGCGAACACAGGTATGGAATAACAGATATATTACAACAGTAATGTTAGTATGAACAATCAGGTTTAGTAGAGAGAACAATGTAGTCTCGACCAGTATCACTATTCCAATGTCTTTGCAGTAATTGTCTGAACGCGACTCTGTTTCCGACTGCGTCTGACTCGACTCTTGACTCGACTTGAACTACTCACTCAACTTGAACTACTGACTGACTCCGAACTACTGATTCCCCTTGAACTACTGACCCTTGCCTACTCCTGAGGCGCAGTATTTATTATGTAATAGTCCATTATTATTATTATGGATAAGATCCCATAACAAAGACAAAGGCAATCCATCACTGTCAAATTCCCCGCCCACGCAGCACTCCGGCCAGTCGCTGGCCATTCAAGCCCTAGTCTTCACATTCTGTAACACTAGACACGCGTGGTCGTATTAATCATTATTTCATATTTGCTGAAATATATTAGGCAAGAGGACAACAGACTGAATAAAATTCAGTCAAATATCAGAAGAATGATCCGGCATTAATATTCCAGGCATTTTGTTTCATAATGCTTACAGAGGGCTGTTTGTAGAGTCATAGAAAATGATGCCCTTTGGATTGACATAAATATTGAAAGGAAATGCAAATATTATATCTGAGTACGATTTTTGTCTTTTTTTTTTAGGTGGATCCACAAAAATATTATGAAGACACGCACGAATAACATTTTTTTTAAAAAGAGTTTTTCCCTATTTTTTTATTCTAAGATAGTGCTTATAAAAAACACAGATTGTTCCCGCATTGGTGGCCAAAGTATACACCGCAGAAAATTCGAAAACTTTATTAATTATACGTCTGCTTACTTTTATATCGAAAGAGAATGAATTTCCTCTAAACGGATGGTCAATATACAATACACGTATAATGCAATAGTTTTTTACTGTTTGCCTTTGAGATACGCGATGATCAATTTAAAATATTACAATTGAAATTGCGAGATGCAACCACAAATTATATGCTAAGTTTCTAAACTTACTCTTGACTCTCGTAGAACTCCTTTCCAGCTTCTTGCTTTCTAGTCAAATTTGATATTCAAAAATTTAAATCTGATGACTGAACTACATGTGAAAGAAGTTCCTATCCATATTTCAGATTCGCTCGAAACAGAAGGACAGCCATTCGGTGTTCTCAACTATACCAAAAGAGAATCTTTCCCATTCCACTTGTCATATAAAGACGTTTATTGAATCATTTTTAAATCCTTTTCAATTTGTTCAGTTATTCGTTCCGCATTTTCTTTCAAATGCTTCGAAAATTTATCAGTTTTCAAATTCGGATGACATCAAAAGCGTTCTTTTTTTGGACAAGTCGACTAAAGATTTTTAGCTGAAAATTCTGACTTAGGCCTATAGCTGCCATATAGGTCGACCCTCAGACACGTGTCGATCAGCGGTTGGACGCGATATGAGCTGTAGCGTTAATAAAGGTGGGGGGTCATTAAGTTGTATTATATATAAGGGTGCTTAATTTTGTCTTTTTGTTACCTCTTCAAAATCCTAATATTCTCGATTCGTAATAATTTTTTCTTTATCTCCTATTCTCTCGCACTTAGGAACCTCTTGTGTCAGCAGTTTTATTGCTTTGCTTGCGATGCAATGATAAAATCCAATGTAAACGTTATTAATATGTCTGCTTACTTTTATATTGAAAGAGGATGAATTTCCTCTAAACGGATGATCGATATACAATATCCGTATAATGCAATAGGTTTTTAGTGTTTACCTTTGAGACACGCGATGATCAATTTAAAATATTACAGATGAAATGGCGAGATGTAACCGCAAATTATATGCAAAGTTTCTAATCTCGCACTTGACTCTTGTAGAACTATTTTCCAGGTTCTTGCTTTTTAGTCAAATTTTATATTAAAAAATTTAAATGCTTATAAAATCGTTAACTTCTTTTTAATTCTTGTTCTTTTATTGTTCTCTCTCCTTAATCAGGTTTTCTTTTTCACATATTCCCTTACAGTCATTAACATCAGTGTCAGTGGTTTTATTGCTTTGCTTGGGATGAAATGTTAAAATCCAATATAAATAACAGTTAAACTAAAACCTTACATTGTAAGTCGAAAACTAAATTGACTCGCTTCTACTTTAAAAGTGACCTTTCTTTTAAAACCAAACATCTTCAGAAGTAAAGAAACATAAGTTATGTCAAAATAGTTTAAAATACATCGGGATTTTTTTCTTATTTTCTTTTACGTTTTCTTAACCGACTCTTGCTCGTTATTTTGTTTACAGTTGATTAATAATTGCTGATTTCGAGGGACCCTGAAAAAAGTTCTCATTCTCTAAAGGAAGTGTGATTCGAAAAAGTCGTGAACCATTGTTTTAGATAGATAGATTAGAGTGAAATAGATAGATAGATAGATAGATAGATAGATAGATAGATAGATAGATAGATTAGAGTGAATTAGATAGATAGATAGATAGATAGATAGAGTGAATTAGATAGATAGATAGATAGATAGATAGATAGATAGATAGATAGATAGATAGATAGATTAGAGTGAAATAGATAGAGATAGATAGATTAGAGTGAGATAGATAGATAGATAGATAGATAGATAGATAGATAGATAGATAGATAGATTAGAGTGAATTAGATAGATAGATAGATAGATAGATAGATAGATAGATAGAAATACTGAAAAATAAAAAAATACTGACATAAAGCATAAAATAAAAACAATAAAAAGAAATTATATAATGAGAAATTATTTTTTTAATTTTGAAAAAACGAAGAGGAGAACAAAATTAAAGTGGAAATATTAGTGAGCAAAACTTCCTTGCTAACAAAGTGAGGTAATCTCTTGTGACTGAAAGTTAAGAACCCACTTATCAAAGGGAGAAAGAGAGAGCATGTGATAAGCTTTAACAAAATATCAATTATGCGTCATGACCAAAGAAAAAGGGGATTATGAAAAGAATATGTCAAGGATGAAACGATTGGAATATATTTTCGCAAGCCAACCAGTCATCAGTTATATATATTAAAACAGATGACTATACACTGGTAATAAATTAGAATTTCCTCGCCAAATCTATAACCTTTTCCGGTCGCGGCGACCAATGAAACCTGTATTTGCTGGGAAAAAGATTCATCCTCAAAAATATTATTGGCCAAAACCTACTTATCAAACGGAATGATCTTATGATATCTTGGAATCACAAGAAGAAAATTCTCCTAAAGTATTTTAATTCTGAGTAGATCAGTTATCCAAATATCACATACCCATTACATATTTTAGGTTACATGTTAATTACCCCCCTTTAACCATTTAAGCGCCGATTAATACGTAACGAGCTACACGGCGTTCCTCTTATTTAAACTAAGCTTGCATTTTTTTCTAATATCCCCTACCTACACTTTACATTTTGAATTTACACCCCAATAATATATTAAGTTTGTATCAACTTTGAGCTTTGAACCTGCGTTTAATTTAGCATTCCTTTCATGAGACACAGTATTTTAAAAAAACAACTGTAATAATTGTTTCATTCACCAGTTCGTACCTGATGACTTGGGAAAACCATGAAACTTTAAGTTGCACTACAAAAAAGTAGTATATTATGTATATATATATATATATATATATATGTGTGTGTGTGTGTGTGTGTGTGTGTGTGTGTGTGTGTGTGTGCATTGTGTGTGTGTGTGTTTTTAGGTTTTTGCCAAAATTGCTAGTTCTATTTCCGTAATTTACTTGTGGAAAGGCATTTTAGGAAAACAGGTATTGTCATAAAGCGCTCGATATCAAACGGTAAGGATAGAGCGTTAATAGAATTAATGTGGGGAAAATTGTCACTTAACTGAGTGGTATTATTTCAATCATACAGACCTCGTTTTCGTGAGCGCATTGTAGTAATGCCGCCACTCTTCAGGGCTGTTGGTCTCTCTCTCTCTCTCTCTCTCTATATATATATATATATATATATATATATATATATATATATATATATATATACAAATCCCATCTACGCCTGCTTCTATGATTACACCGTGTCACAAAATTTTGAATTTTCTTGACTTTGGTCTGTGAGTGTTATTTGCTAATTGCTTCTGTCTAGAAAGCAAAGGAAATGACTATTATTCCCTTCAACTATTGCTTTTATGACATGGATATTTTGAAACTAACCTATTTCTCATTACATTCTTGACAGATTCAACGCTGAATTCCTGAAGGAGAAATTTCTAGAAGTTTCAAGAAGTTTCTGAAACTTTCAATAATTTCTAGAACCTTCTGGCGACCAACGATCATATAACAGAAAACATGATAGAAGAATATAATTTGGCAGCTGATTCGGGAAAGTAATTTAAAGTGTAAATCGAGAAAAACTACTCACTTCTAAATTTTTTGTGGTCTCTCGTGTGTAATCCTGGGACAAATAAATGATAATTTTTAATCAAATGTCGTTTTGCTCCTACTTTGCGTGAACGAGAATGTGAACATTCGCTAGTTTTCACAATGAGAATAGAAAATTTTTAGAAATATCACAGAAACAAAGTTTGAAGGAAATATTAGCCATTTTTCATACATTCTATGTGTATGCAAATAGGAAATAACATTTGCTACCCAAGGACAAAAATCGTGTTACACAGTGTTATTAAGAATGTTTCTCGGAATCACTTTGATTTTCTTTAAAATCAATCTTCGTATCCATACCGTTTATCAGGGGCTTTTATAATTACTTCAAGTTGCCATGTTGAGCAATAGATGTTTATAATAATCCGCAGTGTATTGAATAGAAAATAAATCTGCAAGGGATGCAAAATTTCATCACAGCGGATGAAATTAAGACTATATTCTGGAATTAACCCTTTGAGCCCTGTGTCCTAAAGAATTTTAAAGCTTCTGCCTGAGGTCCTGGGTCAAAATTCGCAAATAATTGGTATGTAATATTTCACGGTAGATATAAAAATAGTTACAAGTGTTTCCCCACCGTTCAACCGGCGGTTAGGCATTATGTTATTTTTCTCTGCCACCGGTAAAGCGGTGGTCAGGGATCAAAGAGTTAATGTGCATGTAGTGAAATGGATATCATAGGAGAAAGTGGATTCGGCCAGCGGAGTTCAAATTTCGAGTTCGTCTACTACATAAAAAAAAACACGAAACGCGATTCCCGAAACCCACTCGGGTATAACGTACTGCATCCAAAACAGCAGTGGTGTGTCTAGGGCAAGTCTAACGATGGCCATGCCTCTTCACACTTGTTTTGAATTAACCTTTTCCTAGACTGGTTGACACCTCAAGACAAGAGATTCTAAACTGCCTTGCTAATTAATAAGGAGGAATAATGGATTCCAAACTATCAGAACGAAGTGAACGAAAAAGAATCGACCGGAATTTGAACTCGGCATGCCGATTTCACTTTCCCCGGCGATAACCGTTACCCGATCCGTTCCTCTGTTGTATTCACTTTCACACAAATAATCTTGGAAACGACACGAATCCATTTAATCTCCCTTCACTTATGAATTCTACCTTCTATCAGTATGGCTGATGCTAACCTCCAGGAGAGTGACTCGTTGCCCCTTCTCGGATGAACCTTCTCTGATGGCATGTAGTGAAAAGATTATATTGAATCAGTTGCTAGGTCTGTTGATAGGAAAGTCGGTTCACTGTGTTGTGCTAGATATTTTTTCTCTCTAGAATCCATCTCACATATTTATAAGTCTACCATTCAAATATTGCTGCCACACATGGTCCAGTGTTCCCGCTATGTAGTTCTTGATAAAATCACAAGAATCTGCAATGTTATTGGCCTTGATTTGGCATCCCGGCTTCAATCACGTTCCCACCGTCGTAATGTAGCTTCCCCTGTGACTTTTCTATAAATACTTTCATGGTAATTGTTCTGATAAACTTTTGTTATAAGTTTGATAATTAAACGTTATGAATTTAAGTACAGTACTAAATCTGCAATAAGATTGGCTAGTAAACGTAAGTTCTATGCCAACAGTTTCTTTTCTCGCACTTCTAGCATGTGGAAATCTCTTCCATCTTCTTGCTTTCCAATTAAATTTGGTCTCCAAAAATTTACATTCAATGTCAATAGTTATCTGCCGTCTTTTCATTCCTCTTCTTTTAATGTTCGTGCTCCTTAATAATGTTTTTCTGTTTTTTTTATTCTTTCCCACCCAGTACCCCCGCCCCCTGTGTCTTTGTGGTTCTATTCCTTTGCTTGATTAGAAAAATAGCTAGACTGGCCGCTCTAGTCTTGGTTGGCAACCAGTCGAAGAGAAGGGAATTTCTGAATTTAAAATCGTGGAGAAGATAACGAGAAATCACTCCACTCGCTTTCACAACAATTTGTGTGAATTCCCAGACAATGAAGAAAAGTCGGTGAAGGGTCACAATCGCTCACGTACGCGACATTAAATAAAAATCTGGATCCCTTGGGTTAACAATTGAATCACAATTCGTTGCATTGTTCTTACCTCGTTTTATTGAAGGATTGTTGTAATGTACTTCGAGCAAGACATGTGAGGAATATCTGGGACCACCAACGGGATATCCTGCTTCTGAAGGCAGCTGAAGAGGCTGTAAGATACGAATAATATAGACTCTTAATAAAGATACAAAAATGTTCATTTCAGATCAACTCAAATGAACACAATATTAACAAATCCAACACATTTTCATTATAGGTGAAACTTTTTAGAATATGACTAAATGGCGTAGGCGATCTTAACTATCTAGAGCAGCGTTCATTCCTTATCTGTGAATTGCTATGACTGTTCTTTGTTATTTATGTAAGAAATCTTGTAAGAGTGCAGCAGAGTCAAAGAGCCACTTGGATGTATGTGAACATGGCAATGCACTGGAAGTTGCAGTCACTACTATAAATGTAAACTGGCTGTATTTTGTTTTAACAGGGTGTTATTCCTTTTATCATTTTACTAGCTTTCCTGATTGTATATCCTTTTTAATATTCTTTTAACTGTAAGTGTTTTACCACATAAAAATTAAGGATAGGCTTTTAGAAATTGTTTGCAAATGCGAGTGATTTTTTTTTACCATATTTCATCCTTTTTTCATCGTTTTAAGATCCTTATATACTTACTAATCAAACAAAACTTCAGTTTAAAAGTAAGAAGAGATGGTTGTCTTCTGTAAAGAAGTGGCAATCATCTTAAGGAAGGAGATCAGTGGTTTCTCTCTGTCTGTTTTCTTGACTGCTTCTTCTACCGAAGGTAAAGATTCAAGTCTAACTCAATATTTAACCAGAGCTAAAAAGCAAGGATGCATACCTTTTCCGATGATATTAGTGTAACATAATGTATTAATTATAACAGACGCAGCTGGAATTTGAACTCGGCATGTCGATTCTGTTTTCAAGAAGCATTACGCCACCCATAGATCCGTGTATAAGAATGAAAACTAACTCTTTTTTTATTTACCTACATATAAGATTTTATTATTTATATTAGAACTAATGTCTCCATCTTTGTTGCTATTATTACAACGTTTCGGCTCTTTTTTTGATTATTTCATCCCAAGTAAGGCAATAAAGCCTCTAAGATACTAAGCGGTTGCTAAATGTGAAAGAATATGTGAAAAACAATTTTAAAGTGAGACCAATAAAAGAACACGAATTAAGAAGACAGAAGATAATGATTGACATTGCATTTAAATTTTTGAAGATGAAAGTTGACTGGGAAACAAGAAGCCGGAAGAGAATTTCATAAGCGAGAAATCAACGAAGATTTTTTTTTTAATTCCATATATGTCCAATCGAGTATCTCTTATAGGTACTAATTCTTTGTGGGTGGGAATAGTTTATTACTTAATAAGAATAGAAAACCGATCCTCTATTTTATGCCCAGTAGAATCTTATACTACAAGAGTCTGCCGAAAACCTCTTCAGCCCGACTCACTTCACAAAATCTGACCAAATGAGCAAAGATCAGAATTTGTTTCGGAATCCCCTGTACCCTACTAAAAAAAAAAGATATGAATATAGTAAACAAAATTTATATGAAAGAACAAAATCAATTATAAGATACTTAGGTACCGTTGCAATTAAAAATTGGACTACAAAGACTTCAAAAAATTTAAATGCAATGTCAATCATTATCTTCTGTCTTCTTAATTCCTGTTCTTTTATTGGTCTCTCTCCTTAATAATTTTTTTCTCATATTCTTTCACACTTAGCAAACCCTTATTATCTTAGAGGCTTTATTGCCTTGCTTGGGATCAAATGATATTGTGTTATTTATGAATTTGTAATATATGACTTTTCTTAGCTTTGAAGTGCAAATATTTTTTTTTATTTCATTATAAACTAATATTTGTCTTAAAATCTACCAAATATTTCTTCTCATTCTTCTATGTCTCATGTTCCTTAAGGATGTGGGTGATCATGGCACCTCACAATTTCTTGTCCGTTTTAGATTTTAATAAAGTTTGTCTTTTTGATATCACCTCCGTCCTGCCAAACATTTACACAAACTCGTTAGGTCGGTTATGCAATGTTTTCATCTGTCCCGATTGACTTCAGTATGTCCCGTAAGTGTCAAATTATCCAAGCCATCTTTGATCACTATTTGCTCTAGAAATGTCCACACTCTCTTTCTAATGTTATGTATAAGTGTCCCTTTTTTGTTTGTATTTTCTCTAAAATTTCGTCGCTGCTCATATGTTCAACCCTTGGTATTGTCAGAATCCTTCTGTAGAACAACATTTCTGTCGCTTCAAGTCTATTCTTCGTCCGTCAGATTGTCCAGCATTCATTGCTATATAAGAGGACCGATATTCCATAACAGTTCAGTACTCTTTTCTTTGTTTCTAACGAAATTTTCCTGTTCCATAATACTTACATTTTGAAAAGTATTTTTCGCTATCCTAATACGCCTTCGGATTTTGGTGTCGTATAAAATACTTCTCAGATATTTAACCTTTTTTTTATTTGATGGATTTTGGCATCTACAATTTGTAATTCACATTTTATGCAGTTTTTTTTTTTTTTTTGGGGGGTGTTTTTTTTGTTTTTCTTTTGTTTTGTTTTTTTTTTTTGTTGACCACTAAGCAGTGTATCACCTGACAATTGGTGATTAATCCTTTCGTCCAGCTTAAATTTTGTAGGATTCCTTTCGCTTTCCTTTCTGTGTCTACAATCAACACTGTGGCATCTGCATATTTACTGTTGTGGGTTTGTAGAATGCATAATATCCAAAAAAAAAAGGGGAAGTTGGTGGGACAAAGTGGATTTTTTAATCAAAGACGCGTTTCGTCGGAGAAAAGCTTATATTCATTTTGGCGTCATCAGTTCAACTAAAAGAAGAGAAAGCTATATGTTAGGAATGAATGTCTTGGTAGGATAAGCTGATTGTCGTAAATCTGGGTAGAAGAAATCCACTTATATCTAGCTTATAACTTCCTGACTTGACATTTGAACATAGTCTGTATGTCTCTATGCCTCTTTGTTTTATCTATATCTATATCAGAGATGTTAAGTATTGTAGGATTTTGATTTTTTTACAATAGGGTTCACCCTGTACAAAACCCGGAGTCCACTCGAGGTACAGAGTTACAATAAGGAGTACTTTATATGGATAAAAGGGAAGAAGATAATAATTAACTTCAATGACTTGAACAGATTAAGATTGTAGTGATCGGGAAAAACATCCTCTTTTGATTCAGAGACATTTTTATTAATTTTTGTATGCACATATATACCTACATACACATACAACCGTACATACACACATATGTACATACATACATATATGCACACAATATATACATACACCTATACATTCTTACATACGTATATCTATATATACATCCACCCAAGCATACACATGTATTAGAGCCCATTTTTATTTTTCATATATATATATATATATATATATATATGTTCATCGATATATACCTGTACACTCACAATACATATACACATACATGCATATACACATCAAAGAGTTTTTTATATATATATATATATATATATATATATATATATACAGATACTAATAAATAACATTATTTTTATATACC